AATCCTCACATGTCCAAATCTCCACATATTTAAATCTTTACATGTCCAGATCCACACATATCCAAATCCCCACACGTCCAAATCTCCACATATTCAACTCCTCACATGTCCAGATCCCCACATATCCAAATCCCCACATGTCCAAATTCCCACATATCCAAATCCCCACATGTCCAAATTCCCACATATCCAAATTCCCATATTTCCAAATCCCCACATCCCCAAATTCCTACATGTCCAAATTCCCACATGTCCAAATTTCCACATATCCAAATTCCCATATTCCCAAATCCCCACATCCCCAAATCCCCACGTCCCCAAATTCCTACATGTCCAAATTCCCACATATCCAAATTTCCACATATCCAAATTCCCACATCCCCAAATCCCCACATGTCCAAATCCCCACATATCCAAATTCCCACATCCCCCAATTCCCCACATCTCCAAATCCCTCCATTCCCAAATTCCTATATTCCAAAATTCTCACATCCCCAAATCGCTACCACCCCAAATCCTTACCATCCCAATCCCTACCACCCCAAATCCCTCAAACATCACTTATACTTCAAATCCCACTAAACTATAAATTGTTACCCGTACCATTACACTATTTACTTTCATAAGTTCATAAGAAACCTCCAACATTCCGCCATTTAACACACGATAGAATAATAAATCCTGTTTTTCCAAGGAACTACGTCGTCCTAATATGCTGCACTTAAGATATCGGTTTTCAGCTTGTAACAACGGAAGATATCATTTTCTTCTTTCAGTGAATTGGATAGATCCCAGTAAAACGTTACGAGAGCAAGGGATAGACGAGTCAGAAACGGTGCTGCTACGGAGAAAGTTTTTCTTCTCCGATCAAAATATCGACAGCCGAGATCCGGTGCAATTATCTCTTTTGTACGTTCAAGCTAGAGACGCAATTCTAGATGGCACGCATCCGGTTACTCAGGAAAAAGCTTGTATTTTCGCTGGGATACAATGCCAGATCCAGTTCGGTGATCATAAGGAAGACAAACACAAGCCTGGCTTCCTCGAGTGAGTTTCCATTAACACTTTCTTCTTCTTTTTACTTTTATTAGGTTTCTTGTAACTCTGACTTTATTATCATTCTTGCATATTCATTTATTAGTTCCTTGGTTTAATTTATTACACCAAATGTTACAATATTTATTATTACAATTATTGTTAGTATATGCTTAACTCAATTTATGTTCAAATCCCTAATTCCTCAAATTCTTAATGTTTTTTCAAATTGTCCAAAAATGTTCAACATTGACAACCCTTTTTGCAGCCTCAAGGAATTTCTACCGCAGTCCTACCTGAAGGTGAAGGGCATTGAAAAGAAGATCTTCGCAGAGCACAAGAAACACATCGGCCTCTCCGAACTCGACGCGAAAGTTCTGTACACTAGAACAGCAAGGTCCCTGAGTACCTACGGTGTCACGTTTTTCCTAGTGAAAGAGAAGATGAAGGGCAAAAACAAGCTGGTGCCCCGTTTGCTAGGTGTCACCAAGGACTCAGTCCTGCGACTCGACGAGAAAACGAAAGAAATATTAAAAACATGGCCGCTAACTACCGTCCGACGTTGGGGTGCCTCTCCAAACACTTTCACCCTCGATTTTGGCGACTATTCCGATCAATATTACAGCGTGCAGACCACGGAAGCGGAACAGATCCTTCAATTGATCGCAGGATATATTGATATTATACTGAAGAAGCAGAAGGCCAAGGATCACTTCGGTATCGAAGGTGATGAGGGCTCGACTATGGTCGAAGACAGCGTATCACCTTTGAAGTGAGTTCCTTGTTGGTGTTAATTTGTGAATTGGTTAGCTGAGATTAGGATGGTTAGAGATGTTGGTCAGTGGAACACCAGTTGCCTAGTTTTGTTTGCTGAGTTTGTATTGAGGACGATTTGGTTGAATAAGAAATGGAGGAGTTTTTGAAACAGAGGCAGAAGAGTTATATTGAAGCTAAGAACAGACAAGTTTCTAAGTAAACAATTAGTTTCATATTAGGGGTATGAAAAAGTAGAAGTATAGGGATTGTGATGCAGGGATGTAGGGACATAGTGTAGAGACATATCAGAATATAGGAATATGGGGATGCACATGGGTGCACAACTATAAAAACATAAACTTTTTTGTGCAACAGTAATTTCACTTAGATCCCATCAAACTTAATTAGGATTTAACTTCAATACTATATTCTACATAATTCTAATATCATCAAACATGTTTCATTTGCAGAGCAACCATCATGCAACACGAAACAAGTAACGTTGGCAAAGGAAACGTGGAAGCAGTATCAGTCGCCATACCAGCAGTCATGAGAGTTGGAGGAGACGGTAAGAACGTCAGAATATCGACAATAAATACTCTACGTCCCAAAATCAGTGTCTTATATCGTATATTAATCTTGTATTCAGTAATGACGCTTTTCTTACCCCTTTGAAAATCTTAAATAAAAGTACTGTGGCTCGTAAGATGGTATGCTAAGGAACTATTCTTTGCAACTGCCATCTTACTTGACATGTGAAGTAGTTTAAGAGGTCTTAGATGTTTTTAACTTGTAACTGCTGCAAGACACTGCATTTTGGTGTCGTTGCAAGAACGATCGAAGAAGCTACAGAAATCCTTGCACGGCAGAGAAGTCCTGTTCGTTGATTTTGTACATACGTACATATATATTTTCTTTTCAGGTTGTTGCGTAACATATGTCCTATTTTAAAATTGCTAGACATATGGTACTTATTGATAATAATTATGATAGAATTATCTCTTAAGTAATATTTTATGCTGTTGATTAACGTACAGACTGTATTTAATTATAAAGAGGAAGGGAATAATATAAATATTAGTTTGTTGCGATAGGTATATATTTGCTCATTTTATCTGTTGAAAATTAGTAAACACTTCTCTTGATATCAATGCTAACTTCATCAAAGGATATCATATATGCATCTCTTCTTCTATACTTCATACAAAATCTTTCATTTTCCTTTTTTTCATACAAATGACAGTATTGTATTTCAATTAGAAATGATGATTGAAGGAGCTACAACTTTAGTTCTGTAATTTAGAAACGATATTTATTATGCAGCAACCTAGTGTTCACAGTAAAATCTATCTATAGTCTCAAAACTCATTCCCCTACAATTGTAAGCTTCCAATGAAAGTTTCATTTTACACATAGTCAGATTTTACTGTGCATCTAGTCTCGTAAATGTAAATTTCGGCCTCGCTTGTCCGCGTTGTTTTCCGCTTGGCAAATTGACACGGTGCTGAACCGTGGTTAGCTTCTTGTGTCGAGCAAAAATCGATCCTGAGGATCGATCCTTGTAAATATCACTCGGATAGTTGCATGATACGGTTTGTAGGTGCTCGACCATATGGGACCGGGCACATGGGCGGTGCTCAATACACGACTGTCAGCGGCCAGGTGAACATCGCTCACGCTCCACCGATGGTAAGATCTATCAGCAACAATGGATGCTCTTGCTCATGCTGAATCTCAATGTTCCACCCCTATTTATTACCTGCAACGTGATCTTGATATCTACGTTTAATTACGTCTGTTCATACACTCCTGATGAACAGTATCTACTTGTGTTTCAGTTTTGATACCTGGTCATGATGTAGCATTCGGAATGTTAACTCTATGTTGATCAAATTTGAACAAATTTTTAGAAGAAGAAATATATTGTTTAAAAATTTTACATTGATAATTCACGTCAGCAAGAGCAATCTCAATCGCTTCGTTGTAGTATTTATTTAGATAAGGCATCTTTACCGGATCGCAGCCAGTACGAACGGTATACTTAAGTTGTAGAAAATCATAAAATAATGATTTGCTCAAGGAAAAATTTCGAAAATGACTAATTCACGGTTTAAATTTATTTTCATGCTAGGCGCCTTCTATTGCGGACACAGAGTAGGTACACGACGATCTTTCAGTTATTTGTCCTTGACTCTGTTAAAAAATCTTTCAGTTCTTTTTATTCAATTTTCTGTTGAAATAGGGCAGTATATTTTTCATAATAATCTTCTATATTTAATTGGTGGTATAAAATAAAAGTTCAAGAACTTCTGTTAGCGGCTAAAAACGTCGGTCCGTAACTTTGAACGTCCGTCATAAAAAAAATCATTTTCGAAACATCACATCGGATATATCTAAAGAGGCCTCGCCCAAAACCAGGTGCAACAAACCAAGGTCACATCCGTCCTGTCCGAACCACAACGTGCCTTACTGTCGACTATCACCGCTGGTCACGAGGTGATCCACATCGCGGAGACCGAGTTATCGTGCAAGGCTCAGCTTCCTGAACTGGGGACAGATCCAGTGTCCCTGAAATGGATCGAACAGACCATAGACACGCACAAACAGAACGTAGGTTCGCAGATCGCGGCGATGAACGCCGCAACTGCTCAAGTAGTCACCCTGACATCTGGTCCGGCCGACGATGTGGATCACACAGCGGTGGGTGCAGCGATCACCACGATCGCCACGAACCTCCCAGAAATGACCAAGGGAGTCAGGATGATTGCTGCTCTGATGGACGACGAATCCTCCGGAGACAGACTCCTGGACGCAGCGAGGAAGCTGTGCTCGGCTTTCTCTGATTTGCTGAAGGCCACTGAACCTGAGACCAAGGAGGTGAGTTTGCATTTCTTTGCGAAGTTTAAATATTTTTCATTTTTTATTCAATGCAGGTAAAAGTTAACAAATGAATATTTTTGAATATTGAATCAGTTTTATATGAATCAGAATAATATGTTAAACTGTACCTTTTTGTGCAGCCTTTCTACATAGCGATTTCCGCCTATGAACGATACGTAAGCATAAAATAGCTTCCAAAGATAGAGATGTTTCTATAAATGTATTATTCGTATTTCTAGTTTGACATCAAATTATATGCACAGCATTCTCATTGCAATATTGCGATTCTTATTTATTTGTTTTTATGGAAAACGCAATTAGTTAACTGCAATCTAGATTTTATATTTTTTAAACGTGTTTAGCTGTTAGACAACGTGGAATGTCGTGGAATTTAATTTAATCGATACATTATGTATCGCTGCAATAAAAGCGGAAGATAGCGAATAGAAAATTGTTTGGTATTTATGTTTAAGTAGTTTTAAGACTAGTTACATTCATTTGATTCGCATTGCATTTATAATGCGTTGGTTGCAATGCTGTTGCAATTAGTCCGCTTTTTTCTTTTAGCAGGAAGCAGTTATACATTTTTCAGTGTTTCTCGTTTTGTTTTCAGTGTCACACTTCGAAGTGTGCGAACAAATGTTACTCATTTGTCTTGAATTGATTCAAGATTTATATTTAAGATTTTTAAATAATATTTATACAATGTCCAGAGATCTGCATCAATTCCTCAAACTGAAAACTAAGCTCAAATGTTAAATTTCATTAAATATAAAAGTAAAATCGATTTCAGACATTTGAACAATATTTCTAATTCAATGCATTCATAGTTCAAAGAGAATATTTTGCCCGCTCAATGTTTCATCTATCATTTAATGTATGAAGTATTCAACGCGTCCGCTATTGTTTCTGATCAGCTACACTTTTAGTACAAAACATCCGATACTCTTATAATTTGTTATGCTATCTTCCATATACCAGATTCAAATTTTTATTAAAACTCATCATCATCATGCACTATGACAGTCCAATCACATAGCGAACGTGTTAATATATGCCACCATATTTACACCTTGCATTATACCTTGCTATTACACCTTGCTAATTTATTACTACTTTTCATTTCAGCCAAGACAGAATCTGCTGAACGCCGCGTCCCGCGTTGGCGAGGCTTCTCACCAAGTGTTGACCACGATCGGCGAAGAGAACGACTCGAACCGAGAGCTGCAGGACATGTTGCTGGCCCTGGCTAAAGCTGTAGCGAACTCCACAGCCGCGCTGGTCCTCAAAGCAAAGAACATCGCAGCCACCTGCGAAGATTCAGCGACGCAGAACCGTGTGATCTCAGCAGCCACACAATGTGCCTTGGCAACCTCACAGCTGGTAGCCTGTGCAAAGGTGGTAGCACCTACGTTGCACTCTCCAGCCTGCCAGACGCAGCTGATGAACGCGGTCAGAGAGGTGACCAAAGCTGTGGAGGGTTTGCTGGAAGTGTGCAACGAAACATGCGGTGACGAGAACCTGCTGAAAGAATTGAACGCTGCTGCCAGCGAGGTTAGCAGAACGCTGAACGACCTGTTGAACCACATAAAAACTGCCACCAGAGGCGAACGAGCTAAGGAGTCCATCCAGGAAGGAGCCGTGGAGACGATATTCGTGGCAACTGACAAGTTGTTCGCTAGCACAGGAGACGCCGGTGAGATGGTGAGGCAGGCAAGAGTTGTGGGCCAAGCAACGGCTCAATTGATTCAAAGCATAAAGGGCGAAGCAGAAAGGCAGACCGACTCCGAACAGCAGCGACGATTGCTGGCCGCGGCGAAGGTGCTGGCTGATGCCACCGCGAAGATGGTGGAGGCAGCTAGACAGTGCGCTAGCAGCCCTCACGACGCGAAGATGCAGGATCAGCTGCGCCAAGCTGCCGAAGAACTGCGAGCAGCGACCACAGCGGCTGCCACTCCAGCCTTGAGGAGGAAGCTGATCAGCAGACTGGAAGCTTGCGCCAAACAGGCGGCTTCTACCGCTACCCAGTGCATAGCCGCTTCATCAGGAGCCGCGCATCACAACACCAACCCGTCTAGTCAGGAAGAATTGAACGCAGAATGTCTGGCGATGGCGCAACACATACCAAACCTAGTGGCTGGGGTGAAAGGAACACAGGCTCAGCCAGATAACTCATCCGCACAGTTGAATTTGATCAATGCTTCCGAACAGTTCCTGCAGCCTGGTACGGCTGTGGTGAAAGCTGCCAGGGCTGTGCTACCAACGGTTACCGATCAGGCCTCTGCTCTGCAGTTGACAGAAACTTCTCAGCAACTAGGTGCTTCTCTGTCTGATCTGAGATCAGCCGTGACGCGTGCCAGGGAAGCCTGCGGTGGTTTGGAGCTGGACGCTGCTGAAGAGCTGATCAATAGTCTGAAGGACGAGCTAGGAGAGTTCTATAGAGCCGTAGAGGCTGCCTCTTTGAGACCCCTGCCCGATGAGACAACAGAGTCCACCGCTCTTCGGTTGGGCGCCACCTCGAAGAACGTTGGATTCGCCATGGCTCAACTGCTGTCCGCTGCTAAACAAGGAAACGAGAACTACACCGGCAGCGCTGCTAGGGAAACCGCGTCTGCACTTAAAGATCTGACTTACGCTGTTCGTGGTGTAGCTGCTACATCCAACCAACCTGACACGCAGAAGAAGGTACTGATGACCGCTGACGACGTTATCCTGAAGTCCCTGCGGTTAGTGAAAGAAGCTAGACGAGCTCTGAAGAGTCCTGATAATCCAGATAATGAGGCCAACTTAGCAGCTGTTGCCAAAGATGTGTCGAATTCGCTGAACAAGTGCGTGTCTTGTCTACCTGGCCAGAGAGACGTCGACGAAGCGATCAAGAATATCGAAGACATGACTCAGGTGCTAGGCATGAACGAGTTTCCACAAACCAACAAGAGTTATGGGTAAGTAATATAGAATTGTTGATAAGAGTACTGTTATCTGAAAGTTCACTGGCAGCCTGTTATGGTTTTCAGGTGCATTATGTATTATCATACGTTGACATACATTTTAATTGCTAAAGATAATACCGAATGAGAAACATTAATAGCTCGAAACTTTAACTGTAGAATCTTTTGCAACATTTTTAATGTAATTACTTTAAAATATCTAGCGCTTAATTTAATTAATTGGTAAACATTAAATCTTTATAAGCATAATAAATTCTCAAATCCATGCTATAATGTATTCTAAAGTAGCAATATAATTTAATATATAGATAAATATACAAATTCAAGTTACCTAACATATCGGTCCATTTTCTGTTCACAGACAACTGCAGAGCGACTTGAACAACGCAGCCGCAAACCTGAACGATGCTTCTTCAAACGTAGTGTCATCAGTGCGATCACCAGTGCAGTTGGCAAGCTCTTCGAAGCAATTCACTAACGCATTCGGTGACTTACTGGACGTAGGAATGGAGATGGCAGGCCAGACGGCTGTCGAAACTCGAAGCCAGATGGTCGTGTCCTTGAAGAACGTAAGCATGACGTCCAGTAAGCTCTTAGTGACCGCCAAGTCGGTCGCAGCTGACCCAAGTGCTCCAAACGCGAAGAATCAACTCTCGGCAGCTGCTCGAGCTGTGACAGATTCCATCAATTACCTGGTGGATGTCTGTACCTCCGCTGCACCTGGTCAAAACGAGTGCGACAACGCCATCAGAAACATCCAATCAATGAGATCGCTTCTTGACAATCCTAGTGAACCAATTTCCGACGCAACTTACTTCGAATGCCTCGAAACCGTGATGGAAAAGAGCAAGAGCCTTGGTGATGGTATGACAGGAATAGCCAACCACGCGAAGAAGTCTGAACACGAGCAGTTCTCGGTGGCTGTCCGAGGAGTTTCTTCGTCGATTTGCGGATTGATCGAGGCTGCAGCTCAAGCAGCATACTTGGCGGGTGTGAGCGACTCCACATCCGTGGCTGGAAAACCTGGTCTCGTGGATCAGGCCCAGTTCCTCAGGGCTGCTCAGGCTATTCACACCGGTTGCCAGAGTCTTGGAAACCCTACTAGTACCGAGCAGCAGGTCCTCTCGGCAGCCACCATGATCGCGAAATACACCAGTGCCCTCTGCAATGCTTGTCGCGAAGCCTCCAACAAAACCAGCAACCCCGTTGCAAAACGTCATTTCGTTCAGTCTGCTAAAGACGTCGCTAACTCCACGTCAGCTCTGGTGAAGGAGATCAAAGCTCTGGATCAGAACTACTCTGAGACCAACAGGGAAAAGTGTGCAGAGGCCACGAAGCCTCTTCTGGAAGCGGTCGATAACTTGTGTACCTTCGCCAGCTCTCCAGAGTTCGCCAGTCAACCCGCGAAGATATCTGTCGCCGCTAGAGCCGCTCAGGAACCAATCACCAGCGCCGGCAAAGCCATCATCGATGGCTCTTGCGCGATGGTGCGCGCCGCAAAGAGCCTAGCGATCAGTCCGAAAGATCCTCCAACTTGGCAGCTATTAGCTAACCACAGCAAGAGCGTCAGCGACTCGATAAAGTCCTTGGTCGCTTCCATTCGCGACAAGGCACCGGGACAGAAAGAATGCGACTCAGCAATCGAAAAGCTCTCCGCCAGGATTAGAGAACTCGACGCCGCTTCTCTCAGCGCCGTTTCACAAGCTCTGCTACCCCGCAGAGAGAACACAGTTCAAGGATTCACCGATCAGATGGAGAGTAGTGCCAGCGAATTACGTGAGAAGTTAGAACCCCTTCGAACAGCCGCTAAATACGAAGCTGAAAATGTTGGCCACGCTGTCAGTCAGATTGCGTTATACTGCGAGCCTTTAGTTACTGGTGCTATCGGTGCTGCCTCGAACATGGTGCACTCCAAGCAACAAATGGTGCTATTAGATCAGACGAAAACAGTCGCTGAATCCGCTCTGCAGCTAGTCTGTGTGACCAAGGAGTCCGGTGGCAATCCAAAGGCTATCAACTTGCATACGGAAGTAGACGAAACCGTGGAGTCCATGAAGGACGCGTTACAGGAATTGCAAAATACTTTAGAGACAATCTCTACATCTAATGGCATCGTTACTGGGCTGATCGATACTATCTCTCGAGCGATGGTCAGGCTGGAAGATCACAGAATGTCGACGATCGATACGGTTGATTCTTACGTTGATTATCAGACCAGGATGGTGGAGGCTGCTAAGGAGATTGCGCGACTGGCACAGGAAATGGTAAGAAGCTTTTTTGTAGATATTATTCTTTCAAGACGTGGAGTATAATCATATTTTCTTTTTTCCAGTCAACAAAATCCAGTACAGACGTAGCGAGACTAGGTTCCCTCGCAGTGGACATCTCCCACAAGTACACTCAGCTAGCTCGCGACACATCCGGTGCCTCTGCAGCCGCCTCCAACGCCGATGTATCTTCAAGGCTGCGCACAGGCGTGCAGGAACTCGGTAGATCCTGCGTCGACATAGTCCGTGCAGCAGGGACCTGTCAGATGTCACCTGGCGACGCGTACGCCCAAAGGGAAGTAGCAGAACAGAGCAAAATCGTGACAGGAAAAGTGTCGCAAGTGCTAGCCGCTCTCCAAGCAGGCTCCAGAGGCACACAGGCGTGCATCAACGCAGCTAGCACGGTTTCAGGCATCATCGGTGACCTGGATACCACGATCATGTTCGCCACAGCCGGCACCCTGCACGCGGAGAACGAGGGAGACACGTTCGCCGATCACCGAGAGAACATTTTGAAGACTGCCAAGGCTCTCGTCGAAGACACCAAGACCCTAGTAGCCGGAGCAGCTTCCTCTCAGGAACAACTGGCAGTCGCGGCACAGAACGCAGTGTCCACAATCGTTCAGTTGGCCGAAGTCGTAAAATATGGCGCTGCCAGTTTGGGCAGCCAGAACCCTGAGGCTCAGGTGATGCTGATCAACGCGGTGAAGGATGTCGCATCCGCACTTGGTGACCTGATACACGCAACCAAGGCTGCTAGTGGAAAACCCATCAACGACCCCAGCATGGCGCACCTCAAGGACTCCGCCAAGGTAAGATCACTTGCTTGGCGCTCTTCTATTGTCGCTTTACTCGTGTACACGTCGGTGTGGCCGATGGACGAGGAGACCCGCTTTGCATTAACTACACCTTGAAGAAGCTTGAGGAGGCCTGTAACCGAATGGCAACGTCGATCATCAGGAAGTAGAGCTTTGTTGGAAGACGTGTGTGACTAAACGGGGTATCTTTAAACGGATATTGAACTGGGATAGATTAGCTTTTTCTTGAATTTCCAAACTGCATATTTGAAGTTCCTGTAATTTATAGGATAAATAAGTTTACAGGATCAATGAAAATTTCTTGTGGTACCTTAGCTAAATGAAAAATATCTAAAAATAAATTCTGATGACGAGTAATGAAACTCTGGATGACAATGTTAGAGAACAGTTTAGAGGCCTTGTTTAAAGTCTGGGTTGGGAGACGCTTGATTAAACAACATTAACCGCAGCAACAAGTAAATTAACGGAGAGAAGGGAGAAACGACGCAGAACTCGTGAAACCCCATCGTATGGCGAACCTAACAGTGTCTCATTGTTGTCCGTCGTTAACGCACTAAATCTAAATTTCACGCTTAACCGCCAACCAGTTTCCTACTTACTTTATTTTTTGGGGTGGACTTTAATCGATAAACCGTTTTACTCTAACCGACTAAAAGAGAAAGTATAAATGATTCACAAGCAAAGAAGCGAAATAGAGATGTTCGAGGATCAGTATCGAAACGAGGCTCGACCAAACGCAATTAAAGTCCACCTTGCAATCTCTCCTCCGTTCGGTGTTTCATCTTCTTCTATCGTCTGTGTGTGACACTACAGATGTTTGCTTCGACAGCGGACAGAATCTTCGGCTTTTGTTTGCTTTTGTTGATATATGAGATTTACACGCGACTTTTTTACGTAGTGAAAAAAAAAAAACATTTTGTTGCCACGACATTGGTGGACTTTAAATGTGAGTTTCATTGACGATTTTGGTCTGGCCGGTCCGGATAGGTGTTAGAACAACAGCTACAACAACAACTGATGCCTCTGAGTGACGTCGGCGGTTCGGAGTCCGAATGGTTCGTGTCCGATCAAGAGGAGGAGCTGATACGTCTGCTCTCAGCCTCAGAGAGCGAACAACCGTCTCAGCGTACTTCCGATTTGCTGTTGCTCATGTAGCCCACTCGAGCCTTTTTCTTGAACCGTACACTTTCACATTTCGCTCAATCTTTGTATTCACTCTTTTGGTACATTATTTTCAAAGGATAGAAATAGTATTTCAAATTGGTTGAACATTACTTTCATTGTGTTATTAGTTGCAAGAATCTGTCGGTGCAATATAACGAGAGCGTCGGTGGCAATATAGTTAGAGCGTCGGTGGCAATACAGTTAGAGCGTCTGTGTCAATGTAACTGCCAGAGCTTCCATAACTCATAAATTCTGAAGTGTTAAATTTCCAAATTGAGCAGGGTTTAATTTTCAAAAATTTTTACATCCTACAAATCCAAAATTCTAAAGTTGCAAAAATTTCGAAGATCAAAAATTTGCCAAAAGAGTGAAGACAAATTTGCAACAAATAACAAAGCAATAAACAAAAAATTCTCGTAAATATAAATCGAGCAACGTCAGTGAAAGTTTTGAAAGTGTAAAGAGAACTTGATGCCGAATTTGCGTGCAAATTTGCATTTAACAGTTCTGTCGAGTTACCATTTATCGAAGCATTTATATTTTTTATTTGAACGATAATAATCGAGCTGAAACATAATAACACGATGCGCTTCCGCTGCATTTATTTATAAATAATTCATGCATTCGTATCGTAGACTTCATTCTCATTATGCGAAGATATTGTACCGTGCTTCAGTCTAGGTATTTAATATTTACTATACTTTGTGTACCATATTTCATTTTTCCTTCTACATTTTTTTCTTCTCGACTTTTTTTTCTTTGTAACGAACAAATAAATCGTCGAATTTTTATTACGCTACACCTTTAAACGAATTCATTAATCCATACGTGGCAAGAATTTTGTTAAGCAAAAGCAACTTTGGGTACGTACATTCCATTTGCAAAACGTGTGTGCATTAACCATTAATAGCAACGTGCTTCGTTAACTAATTTATTTAAAACAGAATTTTATCGTACAGTTCTCTTTTTACAGAGGTTTTTTTTAATCACGGAACTTTTTCATGTGTAACAATTTGTTTTTTGTGAACAATTCTAAACAGTAGCATTGCGATAAGGTATAAGACATTCAACAATTACGACGTTGAAAAATGTTAATAAATAACTAACTGTTCTTGGTAGAAACTTGGAAAGATTTATGTTAATCTACAGTGACGAATTTAACCTGGTCAGTTTCTGATATTTAACAAGAGTAATTTTATTAAGGACTAACGTTAGCACAAGCGGGAAGCATTAACTCTTCAACATCAACATTCTCTTACAGCAGAATCTGTCAGCAACATATATTTATGTAACCATTACATTAATCCTGTAACCTCATATGTTCATATTATGTAATTCTAAACGTCACGCCATTTCTAGCAATCATACTGCCTCTCTTCAACAAAATACTCATAAAAAAAATTAGAATATCTCCACAAAATTGCGTGACTTTTAGACCCATTCATCGATAACCTCACATAATGCCGAATAGACCTGTACCTAGATCGCCACATGTAGCCATAAAAAAGTACCACTCACAGCACAAATGTTAACTCTTCGTTTCTTGCTCTTCAGGTGATGGTAACCAACGTAACGTCCCTGCTGAAGACAGTCAAGGCCGTCGAAGACGAACACACCCGCGGCACCAGGGCCCTAGAATCCACGATCGAGGCGATAGCCCAGGAAATCCGAGCCCTGAACACCTCCGAGAACCAGAAGCTCAACGTAACCCCCGAAGACCTAGTCCGCTGCACGAAGAGCATCACGATTTCGACCGCGAAAGCGGTGGCCGCTGGAAACAGCTGCAAGCAGGATGACATCATCGCGGCAGCCAACATGGGACGGAAAGCCATCAGCGACATGCTGACGATTTGCAAAGGAGCAGCTTACAACTGTGCAGAGACAGCTGAATTGAGAGACAGGACTCTTCAGGCTGGCCACGATGTGGCGATCAACTATAGAGAGCTGCTGCAAGCTATTCTGCAAATATCGTCAAGATCGGGCGATGCGAAGCACATGTTGCCACCAATTTCTAGGAAGATCGCTCAGAGTGTGACGGAGCTGGTAGCGGTGGCTGAGTTGCTGAAGGGCAATGACTGGGTGGATCCTGATGACCCGACTGTGATTGCAGAGAACGAGTTGCTGGGTGCTGCTGCCAGCATTGATGCTGCTGCTAAGAAGCTTGCGAGTTTGAGACCCAGAAGAAGCATACAGGTGGGTCACGAGTGTATGACACTGCAAGGCGTAGAGTTATGATAAGAAGTTTGTGGCCCAAGTGGAGTAAGCTACAATTTAGGGAAATTGATAGGTGAAATATTGTAAAAGGGACGAAGTTAATCTGATTTCCGTAAGATATGTTTGATATTCTTGGTTGTTTTATAAATAATCGACCAGGAATCAAACATATTATTATGGCGGTCAGAAATATCGACAAAGGTTCCCAATGGTAAGATGTGTAGAAATAAACTGGCTACAACTACCACTTAGTTATGAACAGTATTTTCTAATCACTCATATACCAGTTAAATACTTCGTACTGACTTAATACTCTGACTTAAATAATCTAAATATTCATTTCAATTTTTCATTTTTCTTTTAGGAAGCAAACGAAGACATGAACTTCGACGAAATGATCCTGGAAGCCGCAAAATCAATAGCAGCAGCCACGTCGGCCTTGATAAAAGCTGCAAGCGCCGCTCAGAGAGAGCTGATAGCGACAGGAAAAGTATCTCGAACACCTCTGACCAGTTCAGACGACGGCCAATGGTCCGAAGGGTTGATATCCGCCGCAAGAATGGTGGCGGCAGCGACGCACAGTCTTGTAGAGTCAGCGAATGCCCTGGTCCAAGGAGTCAGTTCAGAAGAGAAGCTGATTTCCAGCGCGAAACAGGTGGCCAGCAGCACTGCGCAGTTGTTAGTCGCTTGTAAAGTAAAGGCAGACCCTGATAGCGAGAGTACGAAGAGATTGCAAGCAGCTGGAAACGCGGTGAAGCGCGCGACGGACAACCTGGTGCGGGCTGCTCAGCAAGCTATCCAACAGGAAGAAGATCGGTCGTTGATTCTGAACCGCAGGATGGTCGGTGGAATCGCGCAGGAAATAAACGCGAGGTCAGAGGTCCTTCGTATCGAGAGGGAACTTGAAGAAGCCAGGGGAAGACTCACTGCGATTCGACAGGCCAAGTACAAGAATCGTCCAGACTTGGCGGGAACTGATACCGAAGCCGAACAAAGTGGATACGAAAGCTACACGAGCAGGTACAGTCGAGAAAAGAATTAGGTTCTGTAGAGAGAACGTAACTAATTGGAAAGAGGATTCACTGACATTGTTTGGGATTTTAAAATTTGGGAGTGGGTTAAGAATCTGGTGATCTAGAAATTTGGGGAATGGGTATGGGAATTTAGGAATTTGAAGACACTGCTGTTGAAAGTCCTGTGACTAATTAGTGTTCTGTATACAGTAGAATTAGACCAAATCTTCTGAATGATCCTAACATAATGAACAAGATATGCTTGTCTAAATATTCAGTACTCTTACTTCAATCTGTTAACGTTCTTCCTTCCACAAGTCCTTCCTTGATATTAGATCTGTAGAATGAACCTTATTATTTTTGCTATACTCACACCTGTCTGTGACTACAACTATCTAATCATAAAAATATTCACTATAAAACAAGTGACTCTTAGCGGTTTTGGGTGTTAAACACAATTACACAAATGTAACCATAATAACCATAACTAAGAATTCTAACATTACAGATTCTAACTCGATCAATTAGTCGTCAACATGATTCATCAACTCTATCCCTCTTGTTTCCCTAATACACAGCGTTGACCAATTTGCCAGCAGCAGGCAGAACCTGGTCAGCCCCGAAAAGGTGTACTCCACGCAAAGCACCTTGGAGAGGAAGATGAAAGACAGTCAATACAGATCCGCAATGGAGAATCAGTACGGATCGTACGATAAAAGATACGGCATAGAGAACCAGTACGATAAGCGATACGCTTCGGAGAGTCCGTACATTACTTCTGACAAAAAGATGACGATGGATGGTGCAGGTAGCCAGTACAGCTCTATAGAAAGGAAGATCAACCAGGAGAGCTACGGCAGTATCGAGAGGAAGCAGATGGACGGTCCCTATCCACCTGTCCACACCATGACATACTCCCCGGTGTCTCCTACTCGCAAGGCTTTCCAGGAACAGCAGCAGCACACTTACGAGAAATACTCCCAGGATCAGTACTCCGGCGAGGACAGATCTTACGAGCAGAAGTCTTACTCGCCCAATCAGGATCTCAGATACTACGACACCGTGGATAGGTACTCCGGACTCGGTTCCATGAGCACCTTCAAGTCCGACAAGCAGGCTGAGCAGCGTTTTGGAGGCCTTCCCCAGAATCAGTCCTACAGGAACGTGGAGAGCAAACTGATCCCTGGAGGGAGAATGGAGACCATCACGACGAAGGTGTACACCTCCACTCCTGGCAAGACCACCAGCTCGAACTACGAGTCCACGGAGGAGACCAAAGAGTACGCCACCTCCGGCAACGAGCTGTCCACGTTCAAGGCCGTCGACAATGACACCCTGGAGGAACGCCTGACGAAGCAGTCGATGACGCATAAAGTCACCGAGAAGAAAACTGTAACCATGACAATGTCCAGCAGACAGGAGTCGAACACCAAGACATTCCGATTCGAGGAGAAGTAATCGAATGTGGAGGGATGTCCTTAACGAAGAAACTGCCTGGGAACGTTGTCCGACGCACAAACAGCCAATGGGGCTTTTAGTTTGATTTTTAATGTAATATTATGTGTAAGAGCGGCTAGGCTGTCCCTCGGAATATAGTTACATGTATTTTCGTATCTGCTAATCCGATAGATGATAGAATGTAATGTGTAATTAATTGATAATGGAAAGAACAGGGGAATGTTTAGAACTGGAGGTTATACTCTTGCTTGAGGCTTTTTACGTTGAGGAATGAATTTTATTAGGAAATTGAAGTAGGTTTACTTGTTGGTTTAAATGTGTAATTCGATTTAGATGAATCTTGTTCTTGTTTTATTATTAACTATGATCAGTTTAAATATGATGAAGTGTTTCTTTTAATAGTAGAAGTCAAGTGTAGAAAGTGGATATATAGATGATACAGTTGACTGATTTGTACATGTTTAAATTAAAAATTAGAGTTCATCTTATTTGTACATGTGAAAGGACTCAGACAAGGTTCAAGTTTTGAACATTCCTTGATCATAGTAAGATCACAGAATGTAACTGGATATTGCTTGCGAATTTATTGGAAAAGGCCAGCCGAATGCTAAACATTGCCGATGTAACAGACAATCTAATCTCACGTTTGATAGTAACATTTGTACGGTTCCTGTTAACAAAGCTCTGCTTTTTCTCTTTGAGCTCTTTTCTAATGCTTTTTCTGACCATGTGAAAGTTTGAGATATAACCTTAAAATTGCCTTGCTGACTGGGAACGTACGACTAGGTCAATTAAAGCGATATTCCTCGGAAGTACAAGCATTAACAAAGTAATACGATTATGCAGAATGTGACAGTAATTGTAAAATGACATTCTTCAAGTAAAAATAGATTGATGCGCAGATAAATTTTTTGACTGCGTTGCAACTAATAATAATTTAATCAGTAATGAACACTGTAATGATACTAATGCAATTAATGGAATTTATAATGTTATTTGTAACAGAATATGTTACTCTAATTTTCAGTTTAGTTTTACATGAAGAATTGTCCAGTTACTGTCACTCCATGCACAAACAATTCGTCCCCAATATAAAGGATACATTTTAACGCCTTTGTACGATAATTCTATATAGCGACGAAGATAGAAGTGTCCTTAGAGTTAACTGTGTGCTTTCAAAATTAGACTTCCTAAGAATAATTATTGCCTCGAAACGATGGACAATAACCGTCCCGATTGCGAATTGATTCGTTTCATGTAAATCGCGATTATACGAGTTTGTTCATATTTTTGCACTGACAATTTTCCAACTTTTGATATCGTGTTCCATTTGAGAAACTTTTTCAAAATCGATCAATTATTGTAATTTTATATAAAGTCAACGTCTAATTTCTAAAGAAAGTTGACGAATTTTTATTAAATTTGTTACGTCTGTTACACCAGGGCTTCCCAAAGTATGACTTTCTTACAAAATGATAAATTTTCAAAGGGTATACATTTACAAAGGTATAAATATGGAATGTACTGAGACACACTTTGGGAATTTCTGGTCTATACCTTTCATATAATTTCAAAAGGCATTAACTTTTGTTAAATTGTTTATATTTGACGTCGTAACCCTTAAAGCACCGCAGATACATGGTACAGTTGTATGCAGTTTGGTTTTTTTTGTTGAGACAAGTGTAAAGGAAGGAATATCTAGATTAGGTTTACTTGAGGCTCCTTTTAAATTATTCATAAGATCTAAGTTCCTCTAAAACTCTGCTCAGTTCTTCCTGGATTTTGAAACTCTTTCCTGAAATCTTCCATAACTTTCAAGTTCTTTTTGAATTCTTCCTAAACTCTCAAGTTCTTCCAATTAGATATTCCTTCCTCACATTTATCTTTAATTAAAGAAAACCAAATTGCACTGTAAAGTACACATTTATGTAACTAAATAGTCAAGGTTGGAGCAGTTCCTCCATAAATTACTAAACATTACAAGTAAAATGTCCATCTTCTATTTTATCTCAAAAACATCTATTAGGATCAGAATATACAGTGCAATTAAATACTACAGTACAATAATGTTATGTGAAATTATAAAAATTTTGAAAGTGTGGAGGACCTAGTCCATCCAGAACAAAAGTTACATAAATGGGTACACCTGATTTAGTTTAGTTCTAATTTAACTTTAAGTTTAAGACCACGGATTGACAAGAGAAGCAACATATCATTTAATTTTATTAACTTTCCGACACCGTGCGGCCTGGTCCCACGGTGATGTCTTCGCCCCCTTTTACCTTTTAACATTTTCCACATTTCCGGGATTAACATTATTGTTTAAGTGCGTCTTTATTTGTTGCTTACACTCACATTTATATGTATTTCTTTTACCTGCTGTTTTATACCATTTGCGGTGGCTCGTTATTTTTAATTAATAGTTCAATCGTTAGCCTCAAGACTGTTTATTGAAAGTAATTCAAGTTTGCTTTGACAAACTGATAGCGTGTATAATACAAGTAATTTTTAATGAAAGTGTTTGAAAAGATGCTAGTGGAGAGGCCAATGATTGGACAGACCTTCCAAGTGATCGATTAGTACAATTAGTCTTTCCAGGGTAGACGAACAATTGTAAATAGATGTTAGATATTTTGCATAAAACTTTCGAAACGCAAAAGACAATTTAGAAAATGAAACTATTGATAAAACGAAAAGTGCCTAAGTCAAATGAGCTGCCGCTTTTTCACGTAGCGAATGTAGGATTTTTGAATATTACCAAAAATCAAATGCTTTACTAATGTTCGATAGTGTAATATTATGGTAAACGAACACGAAGGGTAATTATGTAAAAGGATTTTTTAACTTCCTTTCACGCGAATGAAATTGCTTGGAATTTTGAGGGGACAGATTTTTATTGTCCACTTCGAGATGCAGATATTGTGTTGCAGAATTATAGATACAAAAAATCAAACTGAACACAAAACATTTTTCTATATAAATTTTATGTAATGTAAATTAATTAATCAAAGTGGTACTTGTGCAAATAACATTCCATAATATGAACTGATGAAAATTTGAACTACATAAAAAATTTAATCATCCCCATAAAATATACAGACACTTTTTATATTTCAATTTTAAAATAAAAATTATGTATACATGTAGTTAAACAAATTATGAGATTCAATGTAATTAAATCATTTAATATACTGCAGAAGATCATCATAGGTTAAGTGTTAAACTTATGTCGTCCTTGTAAAAATTTGATAGTAAAAAGTTAATTTATGTACCAAAACTTTTTGTCCAACGAAAATTGTATCTGTAATTCTGAAACAATTTGTGTATACGTATCTGTTCACATTATTTATAAACTAACATTTATTTATGTAAAATATATTTTAACGATTTTATAATGGATAACTATTAAAGTGTATAGAATATATAACGAACGTTTACACTTTTAAGTTGAATATCAGATAAGTATGTGAACAGATAGGTGAATCACGGTAAATACATTACTGCATTTAGGGTAATATATTTTGAGAACGATCGTCGTTTTTATTTTTTATTCTATAGGTGTGTGCCATGATATATAAGAAAGTATATAAATATACATTTTAACAGAAATTATACAGGATAATTGTACGATAGATTTATATAATATATACGTCGTTAAAAAAAAAAGGCAAATACAACGAGAGGATTTTTATAGTTTTTAACGCTGTATTATTGTTTTTTTGACAATTCAGATTTATATACAGAATGTTTTTAATCGTTATCTTTAGTACAATTGATTAAGCCTTACATGTCTATTATTGTGGAATGTTACAAGTTGTAATATTATATTATCATATTATTGTATTATTATATTACGAGTATTCACGGATACATATTAGCCTTAATTACATTCAGGTAATAAAGAATTTCTAACATTTCGTTGTTACGTTATTGACATAGTGTTTCTGTTCGTGTGCATGGATTCTATATACCTATTTCTGTTCCACTATATTTTTAATATAAAATTCGGATCGATGGATAACGATGTTATAATACAAAGTACAATTTGTGAGATTCGAGGTAGTTGAAGAGATTGGTTCACTATGCGATTGTCATACGCTAAAAAGTCTTCATTATTTCTCTCTTTGCTCTGTTTTAATTTTACTTTTTATCGGGTGCTTCGTTCAAAGCTTTCGCTATAAACCTCGGCAAAACGAACGCTGCTTTGTGCACTTCTTCGTCGTAATATTTCATGTTCATTTCGTCGAGCTCGGCGTCGCTGAAGACTTTTTTTGGTTGCTTGAAATTCGTTTTCTGAAACAGTTTGGTTTACTTATAAAATATATATAATTTAAGCGTTATTCTAGAGGTGGAACATTCACAACTCTTAAAGGCATTAAAACTGGTACTTGAGGAAGTTATTGATCTTTGCAAAAATTCAAATTGTACCAAGAAAGATATAGAAAGTACATTCTTCTATGGACACAACAAAGTCAATAAATGTAAATAATGTCAAAGTGTACACTATACTTCCTATCTTTTTTTAATATAGAAAACAGTGTACTCACTGTGCTTAATCCACCCAACACGAAACCGATTTGTCCAGTAGGGTAAGTAGGTACAGAAACAATTCCGTAAGATGCAACCGGAAACACAGATTTACAATGTTGTAATGTCTGCGTAACGTGGTCCAGATTTGCCCATGCAGTTCCTGCTTGGCTGCAAACTATTCCACCAGGTTTCAGTGCTGTCTTCATTAAGCTGAAGTACGATTCTTTGAACAAACACTCTGCTGGACCTGCATTTAAACATATCCCTTATTTCATTTACTTTAATAGGAAACTGGATAGTACAAGATTATATGCTCAGTTGCAAATCCTTATAAATATTAGGGAAAGAAGAAACTGTATGATTAAAAACATGTGATAGTTATAATCTGTTGGTTACATGAAATAGTTACAATCTTTTGTTGCTATAAATAATAATATCTTACTTATTCTGTTATTTATCTAATTTGTGGTGTTGCTTGTTAATTTACTTTAAGAAATATATTTGCTGTATATTAATTTAAGAAATATATTTGTTGTATATTAATTTAAGGAATTTATTTGCTGTATATTAACTTAAGGAATTTTTTTGCTGTATATTAATTTAAGGAATTTATTTGTAGTGTATTAATTTAAGAAATATATTTGTTGTATATTAATTTAAGAAATATATTTGTAGTGTATTAATTTAAGAAATATATTTGTTGTGTATTAATGTAAGAAATATATTTACCAACGGGGTCACTGCTGTCCGTGATAATAACATCGAACTCTCCCCTGTGTTGCTTCAAAAATTCGAAACCATCCCCTACGTTAAGGGTGACTTTGGGGTGTTCGAGTCCCACACCCATCGAGGGTAAATATTTCTTTGAAACCTCCAGTACTTTCGCGTCAATTTCGACTTGAACGATCCTTTCGACTTGGGGATGTTTTGCGGCTTCGCGAGCAACCCCTCCATCTCCACCCCCAACTATTAAAACCTAGCATTACATAAAAAGGGGTAAACAATTTTGTGTTACTAAAAATCATTCTCAGATGTTTTCTTTCTTAAAAAGGAGCCTACTTGCAAAATTTTTAAAATAAATATTAAGTTCTGGAATTCTTCTTTATCTAAAGATGCAATTTTGTATCTTACGCAAATTGTATCTTTAGGTAAAAAGAATTTTAGGTGGCGCCATCTAGTGATAGAAGGCGGGAACTAATTAAAGTAGAGTTTCAAAAGTGTGTAGTTCACTCTGTTCGCCGGAGAGATGGCGCTACTGGTTCCATTTTTTAAAAACCTTCAATTATTATTGTTTTTACATGCTTAATTAACTTTAATATGCATCAAATTATTCTTTTGCAAAAAGGAGCTTATTTATGAAATATATTTGACATTAGAGCAGTATGATTTTTCGAAGTTTTTAAAAAAAATAATTCTATGTGTATCTACTGACGATAAGCGGCCATTTGCAATAGTGCTGTAACTAAATTCCATTGCAATTTTATTGTAGTAAACAATTTTTATGTTCTACTGTTATTATTTTAATCGTACTCTTGATTTTAGCTTACAAGTTTTAACAATGTTACAAAAAGAAATATTATAAGAAAAGATTTTATTTCTATCAGTTTCTTCAGATTGGCGATAGATGACCGTCAGTGGTACATTCTTGGCGGTCTTTTTAAAAAGCTCGTTCAAATTTTGAAATTTGCTAGTTGAGACTTGTATATTTGTAATAAAATACAGTAGATAAATTTTATAATTATAGTAAGTTACAATAGACTAGTTTTATAGTAAAAGTAAATTATAATAGAAAGTAAACTTATATCTAATTTATGAAGTTTTGTTCCAAAGGTTTAGTTTATTTGAATAAATGAAAATCTTACTGTTTTTGGATTTGGATGGCTGCATAATGGCAGAAAAGCGATCATCTCCTGGTACGAAAATTCATCCCTCTCCGTGGATTGTATGATACCGTCTAAAATTAGCGCCCTTCCATGTGACTTCCTGTGTGTATATAATCAAAAGAAATTCTATTTCAAACTGTGACTAATTTTCGATTCGACTTTCTTTTACTTTCTTCAATGTCGCATAAATATTTCAACAGATAGTTATGAAAATTACCATTTAAATATTGCAAATTATGAATTATATGGACGTAGAATTCTCAGTACCAAATTATGCAGTAACACTTATTAAAAATAACAAATTATCTGACATGATAATGCAGAGCTATAATTAGCTACTCGATAACATTTCAAGTTCATTCCAATTGAATGGAATTGTCCCTAAATAATCTTGAAGACAGAACTTTCCTTTATAATTAGCACTGAACCACTATCTTCAAACTCCAAATAAATAAAAGATAACAAATAAATTCACTTATATAACCTTTCCTTATTTCAACAAAAATCAAATATTTATTTCTCATAACTAAACCTTTAATATCTTCCTTGCATTCCCCATCTCAAGTTCAGTCCACGTTAATTTCAATTGCAAAGCTTGCATTTTTAAATAAAAACTTCACCACTTTGATCACATTACTAAAACTCCAATTATATTAATTCATGATCTCCAAAACCCACAAATCCAAATCAAGATTTCCCACAAAAATTTATTAGCTTGAATCTTTAACAAGTATCACATTTTTTAACACCGTTAAAGAGTTCAGTTTTCACAGTTAAGCTTGAAACGTCACCAAGAAGAGTATCATAAACTCACGTTTAATAATAGTACTTACGTTTCGAGGACCATAACGTCCTGATACTGGGACCGTTCCCTATGAAGTATCCTGTTCACTTCAAGGGACAAGGAGACACCCGGCCATAGATCGTTGATTTCACTGAACCAGCCAGGTTTTATCGCGTCCATTTTTCCTCGTGAGTCGAGCTTCTCCCTCGTTTCGCGATTCAACTGAAAGCAGACACTGTCGGTCGGTTAATCGTGGACGAGGAAAATAAAAGTGCCAACTTTTTTATGCGGCCAAACATGTTTCCCTACGACAAGGACCTCCAGTTCCACTCCTTTCGGAGCTTCAGAAAAGAAATGGCGAAACTTGTTTTTCACCTGTGTATTCGTGCTGATAGCATACGGTCAGGTACTTCGTGTATACGTACACGAAGTCTTTCTTAATTTTATTTTCATTTTTGTTTATTATTTTGTTTGATTTATTGGGACGGTGGGGTAATTGTAAGGATTTGATGAGGTAATGGAGGGGGGTTAGTAAGATGGGTTGTTAATTTTTGAGGACTTCCAAATATCCTAATTTTACAAATTTCCAAATTCTCAAATTTTCGAACTCTCAAATTTCCGAACTTTTAAATTTCAAAGCTCTCAAATTTCCAAGCTCTCAAATTTCCAAGCTCTCAAATTTC